AAAAAAAATAAAAAAAATATAAAACAAAATATTGCAAGTTTTAACAACAGTGTATTATTGACAGTTCGGTTCAATAAAGTTTCTAAATTCATTTTTTTATTTAAAAATGTTTATAAATTATGATAATATCTAATGTAAATAAAACTTGTACGAAATATTTCATTAAAGGGTTATTAAAAGTTATAATGAGATGTGAACTGCAGGGAACGGAAGGAATGTAAAATTAGATATTGAAAATGACATCGAACTTTATTTGCAAAAGAAAAACAATTTGCAAAAGCAACAAATTTCATTTTATCACATTGCATTTTTTTTCAGTAAATGCATCATCAATGGATCAAATAGCCCAAACCAACTCCAAAATAGAGTTCCTAGTCGCTTCTATAAATATCTTGCTCTGCAATGAAACTCTCAACTTAACTGAATCTCAAAAAGAGAGCTTTCGAAAAGCAAGGTTTCTGGTAAAATGCAACGAATCAGATACCTTCGACCGACATTACAGTGGGGACTGTGGGGGCAGACACCTTGCTGAATATTATGCACATGAAATTCATCCCTTCCTCGCAATTGTCGTGTGTTTTATTGGTATTTTGACCAATTTGACGAACATAATTGTGCTAACAAGAAAGGAAATGTCCTGTACTCCTATAAATCGGATTTTAGCCGCATTATCAGTGACTGAAATCTTCCAGATGGTTGAATACATTCCCTACGTATGTTATCACTACTTGGTGTTGCTCAAAAAACATGATTTTCCGTTCTATGGAGCTATTTATATGGTGTTTCATATTCATCTCACTCAAATTCTGCACACCACAACTGTTTGTCTCACATTGTTACTGGCCATTTGGAGATATCTAATGTTGAGGTAAGTCTTTTAATAATTATTTGTAACAAAGAGTTGGAGAAGAAACTTAAAGTTTAACCCTACGTGGTTGTAATAAAAATTTTCAGTAGGTATTGTTACGCAGTGTGAATATAAAGCTTTCAACGAATTAAAAGCCTTATTTATGCTAAAAAACACCATTTATTGACAAGACAAAATTTTTATTAAATGTACACGACATTTTTAATGAATATTTACCACAATTTTGTGATTAAAAACTGTTGAAAATATTGGAATTTTTTTAATTAGGTATACATAGTGTATTGTGAACTGAATGTTTATTTTTTATTTTTGCTGAATGTTTTTTTTTAATTTGACGAGAAAGCTATCAATGAAAGTTTACGACGCCAAATTAAAAAAAAACACCCGTTATTTTAGAACTTATTTAATAGTGGATAAAATAGTCTTTGAAGTATGCACTTGTGTAATGTTGGTTGCATAATTTTAAAATACAATTAGGGAAATTTTGCTGTTTCAAAGAAAGTTGTTTTTTACACATATGGACGATAGCCGTAGTACAAAAAAAATTTCGTACCTTGTTATACAAGCACTGATCAATTTTTTCTAGTTTTTGAAATAAGTTCTTTGAAGAACATTACACAAAAACCAAAATATGTACTACTCAAAACACCGTATTTTCTGTTTTTTTTTTAGCTAAGAGATTGTTAAATTGTTGCTCTAATTGTATTTTGTATTTTTTCAGATATCCTGATAAGAAACGTATTCTCTGTTCCCAATTTCGATGTACACTTGGTATAACCGCATGTTGCGTACTTCCTTTCGTGCTGTGTATCCCGAACTTCATCATAACCACCATAACAGAGCAAGAGATCGTCGAAAATGGAATTGAGTACATCCTGTATCACACCGACTTGAGTGAAACATTTAAAAGCGACAAAACGCTGCTACGAATTATTTTTCTAATCTATGCTGTTTTTTTAAAACTACTCCCGTGTTGCATACTCACTGCAATCAATTGCTGGCTTGTCAATACTTTGTTTAAGGCAAAAGAAGGGAAACTAGCTTTGCGTAATTACGACTGTTTTGAACTTAAGGAAAACGACGCAAATCAAAAAATTTTAAAGAGTGAAAAACGAACGCATCGTACCACGAAAATGCTAATTGTGGTGTTGTTTTTGTTCTTAATTACGGAAATTCCACAAGGAATTTTTGCATTATTGATTGGATTTAAAGGGAAAGAAGTGTTTTTGGAATGTTATCAGAGTTATGGCGCCCTAATGGATATGCTTGCGTTAGTTGACGGGGCTGTTAGTTTTTTCTTGTATTGTAGGATGAGCACAATGTTTTGTATCACCTTCTCACAATTGTTTAAGCGTACTAAACTTAGTTTGCTCGCAAGGATTTGTTAAAATTTAAAATTGATATTTGTAAGATGTTGTGTATATTGTGAATAAAAGTAAGTCTACAGTATTTCAATATCATTTTTTTTAATTAAGATAATACCGTGCGATCAAAAAAAAAATAGAGTAGGCGGTGATTAAAGTCCTTCAGATGGCAATCCTGATTTTTGACATGAAATGTCAGCTGAAACTTTGACTAGTTTGCGTTTTATTATTTTTTTTTTTGAGTGAAATAATGTTCACTTTAGAACAGAAATTTTTTATTGCTGTACAAGACAAAAACGGTAAATGGTCATTTTGCAACTGTAGAATTTATCGACGTCAACTCTGATTTTTTTTTCTGATCGCACGGTACAATTGCATTTGTGGTGGAGGCACCCGGCAATCACAAAATAATAATTTTTATATTAAAGTTTGTTATACCGGGTGACCACAATGGCGGACACGGGATTTTGGACATCAAAGTTATGCCATTTCAAAAAATGTCAATGTAATTGTATTGTCACAGATTATCTGGTTCCACCAGATAATCTGTGGTATCTGTGTAATCTGTGGTATTGTCATTGACGTTTGAAAATAAAGTTTGAAAGTTTTAGTTGATTTTTTTTTGGCGTCGATTTTTTGAAACAATAATGCCAGTAATACGTGATTTTAGATAAGTTCAATGAATTACATATTTTGATTTGTTCTATTTTTTTCTCGAGCTGGATAAAAATTACAAAAACCGAAAGTGAGGTTAGTTGCCTAAGGACCGTTTTACATTTTTATGTCAGTCGAATGACAAATCGTCCGCAGTTGTATTAGTGTTTGTGAAAAAAAAACTATTCGCAACACTGAATCATTGATAATTCTATTCTAATTTGTTAAAGCAGAATATTTCAGGTGGCGGCTAAATCAACAGTCGCCCGTCGCAAATGAATAATGATAATTGTCTATAAAAGTTTGACCTTGAATTTTGAAAGACAAGGTTGACACACCAATATTTTAAAGACACAAACTTGAAGTAAAAAGTCACAATCATTTACAGTCACTCGGTATTACAGTTTATACAGTAGAGTATAAATAAAAACCTGTCTCAAAATTGGTACATATTTTCATAGATTATTTGAGTCTGACTAGAAAGAAAAATAAGAAATGTGATAAATTTTGACTGATGATAAAGTGTGTTAGAACTCGCGTCCCAGAGAAACAATTCAAGTCGCATAAGATACCATAGAAAAAATGTCAAATGACAAATCTGTCAAAAAATTTTGACATTTATTTTTTGACAATTGACATTTTTTAAAGGTTATTTAATGATACTGATCATCTAGTATATGTTTTTTTTATAATTATTTAGTAAAAGTACAAAAACTTTGCCAATAAAAGCCACAAATAACATTGAACAGAGTTACAATTTAGGATACAGCTTCCTTGTTTCCTCTTTTAATAGCCTATAGCAAAAAAACTTGGGAAATTATTTTTCCAACAGAAATAAATAGAAGTACAAACGTTAAACCCTCATAACTTCGAAATTTTTATAGATACAATTTTTTTAAAATTTTTTCCGTGTTCCTGGTATCTTACCTTACATGGCACTTTTCTCTGGGGCGCGAGTTCTGGCGCACCCTGTATGTTTTAACAAGGTAAACATGAAAGAACAACCTCACGAAATAATATTTTTATTTTATTTGCTTGGTTTTATAATAATAGGGACTTTTGAGAAAATTTTTATATATAAATAGAATCCCTCGAATTGAAAAGTTTCAGTGGACAAAGGAAACTCATTAGTGATTTTATATTCTCCATTTATTAAATTGGAGACTATACAATAGGAAATACTACAGAGTGATTTTGAAATACACAACACTATTTAAATCAATAAATTATGAAGGTACATTTGAGTGCAAAGAAAAAAACGCAAATTGATTTTTTTATAATGTAATTTGGCCTGTTAATAAATGCCAGTTTTTTGACGTTGTCTTTGTCACAATTTACAATATTATAATTGTCAGGCATCTTTCAAACTTCTATCAAGTTCTTCCATGTTTCTTCATTTCGTTTTTAACACTGACTATGACATTGCACCAAATAAGACATTTGTTTTGATAGTTTTCTAACCTTTTTGGGAACAACCTTTTTCACACTATGTTAATCTCTAAAAAATTTGACAATTTGCGTTTTTTTGCACTCAAGTGAAATATGTATTTTTGACAATTAACTCTCAAAAAGTGGGTACACCACTGACCCACCGTTTATATAAAATAAAAAGTTTGGGCAGGTAAATAAATTCGTATTTTTAAAATAAAAAAACTGGAATTAAATTTTTTGTTTGTCACTGGAGAGCCCTCTATTATTACGCTAGTTAAGCACTCTTGTCCAGTCATCGCCGACTCCATTCATACTAGCGTATACGGCCTTTCCATGGGCATCAAATTTGCGGGCCTAGAAAGCAATCCATGAAACGTTCCTCTACTGGCGACATCAGTAGATTAAAATAAAAATAAAATTTAGAGATTAGGTCTCATCTTGTCATGTTTGACAGTTAAAAGGATTCATTTTTCAATTTTTCATCGACATTCGACATTTTTGCTGCATCTTAAAAATTATAATGGGCAAAAAGTGTTTCATTTGTGGAAATCGAAATGGACCATTGTTTCAAATTCCCAGTAATTTCAAAATGCGTCGACAATGGATTGACATATTAAAAGAAAAATATGGTTAGTTATTTATTCTATCTCCGTAAACGCTCTTAGTAAATGTTTATCTTTTATACTGACATTATTRTGATGGTTRCAGATACAAAACTAATTTCAGATTACACGGTAATTTGTTGCGAACATTTTGAGAACAAATATATTTGTAGCTCAAGTACAGGACGTTCTCATAAATTAAGCAAAGATGCTGTGCCTTTCCTGTCCTTACCTGTAAGATAATTGTCCTGTTTCATATTATCCTTCCTTAACACTTTTGCAATTTTAAGAATCCTGTTAATCTCGGTGGTACTGACCAAGAAGCTTCTCTAAATTGTTTCCCTTTACACTACGAATCAAAAATATCACAATCCTCGCAAGTAAATTTAATTTCGTGTGAACAAGTTACGAATATGCAAAGGCAAATTAAAATTTTAACTAGAAAATTAGAACGGGCAAATGAAAAAATTAAAAAAATAGATGAAGAGAAAAAGAAAAATGCTAAGGTTTTATCTGCTGTAAACAAAATTYTAGGGGACGCGGAGCAATTAGAWGAAAAAGCGGTTTTTCTTATCGATATTATAAATAACTACGGCAGCAGGAAGCCAAGATGGTCGGAGARATCAGTAAGGTTGTGTACTATTTGGAGGTATTCGTCACCAAAGGGATACAATTTTTGCCACAATAACGTAATTAGAATACCATCTTACTCGTCAATAAATAGGTACCTGGGAAAATGTCATAGTAAAAACGAGTTGATACAACAACGTTTATGTGCTGAAATTTCAAATCTTAAACCAATTGAAAGAATCTGTTCATTGATCATCGATGACATGTCGATTCAACCAAAAGTATCCTACAGTCGAAGTGAAGATACTGTATTTGGACTCGATACTTCGCGATCAAACGTTATTAGCGAAAAACCGAAAATAGCCAATAAAATGTTATGTTTCGTAATACACGGATTGTCTACAAAGTACACTATTCCTGCAGGATATTTTTTCCATGAAATGTTAACAACAGCAAATTTTCATAAATTAACGTTAGACGRATTGAAACTATTAACTCATTGTGGGTTTATAGTTTTAAGGATCGTTACAGATAATGCATCTTCAAATGTAGCACTTTTTAAAATCCTCGGTGGAGGATTAATGAAACACCAAATTGACCATCCATTTTTAGAAAATATGCCAATTTTTTTAAGTTTCGATTTTTGTCACGTTTTAAAAAATGTTAGAAATTGGTTTTTGGCTGGTGATATGTGCACTTCAGAAGGTACGATTTCYTCGTCGTATTTACGAACCTTATACGAACTTCAGAAAGAAATGCCAATAAAACCAGTAAGATATTTATCAAAAAAACATTTATTTCCTTCAAATTTCGAGAAAATGAATGTGTTAAGGGCAATTCAGATCTTTTCGCCAGCAGTGACAACATCGTTGAAATTTTTACAAGAAAATGGAAATGACGAGTTTTCTCTTGTAGGGAACACGGTAAAATTCATGGAGAATATGTATTACTTTTTCCAAATACATAATGTCTCAAATAAAACACACTATATCTGCGCACTAGATAGTTCTGTTGCCCCTTATACTCACATATCAGATCAGCGTTTACATTGGCTAAATAATGTTCTCCCTGAATACATTGATGACATCCAAAAGTGTTCTTCTGAGGCTTGCTTAAAGGGGCTATCAAAGGAAACCGCTCATGCTATAAAATTCACAGCCCAAAGTACATATTTGTCAATTAAATTTCTTTTAGACCAGGTTGGATTTTATTATGTACTTACAAGATCCTTCAGCAGTGATGCTCTTGAGGGAATGTTTTCTCATGTACGATTAAAAGGAGGCTGTAATGACGCAACTGATGCGAGAGCAGCGGAGTATGCTGTACGACAAATTTTAAAATGTGGCATTGTCAAAGCATCAAAATCGGCAAATATATCTCATGACGTGACCTTTATCAGCCACACTAATTTAATGCCCACGATGCAAKTTTTGGACAGAGCAAATTTGAAACTTACACTACCCAAAGAAGTGGAGATCCAACTTAAAAGCTTGCATGATGACGTTGAATGTGAAGAGGATATTTATTCTGCTTCTGTTGSTTTCTTAGCCGGATATATTGTTAAAAAAATTAATGATACATTCCACTGTGATGCATGCCTTACTCCACTAATGTCGCAAACAGTCCCAGGACCTCTAATGAAGSTCATAGTACTTCAAGACCATGGTGGATTACTTTATCCTAGCCGACCATTTGTATCACTCATCAAAAGAGTTGCAGATATAATACAGGAAATGCTACCTTACATAACAACAACAAAAACTTGTCAACAATTGAGTGAGGCTATTTATCCTTATTTGCTAAATAACAAAATGTTTCAATGTTCACCTCATTCATTAACAGTACTCCGCTTAATTATCAATACAACTGCTAAACCAGTTTTAGATAATATTTGTTTTGAAAAGACTGACAATTTAAAAAGAAAAAGAATAGATAATAAACCTACAAGTAGAAAAGTTTTGAAATTATAAAAAATAAATAACTGTCTTGACATCAGACTCTGTTTTATTTTATTTTCTTGTTACTATTGGCTATTAAAAATTTATTGCTTTTACTTTAATCTCTTTTTTTTTAATTCAAAGAAAATCCAAGTGTTCAAACATTTATTCAAAAAAATCAATTTAAAATCAGATTTTCACAAAAATATGTATATTTTACCCAAAACAAGACCTTAATTTTTAGCATTAATACCATAGATCCTTTGCATAGTTTTGCTGTTTTTATATTTAAATGATACCAGTCAAAACATTGAGCTCAATA